CTTCCAAATAGCGGAGGCCATTCTTCGGGTGAATTCCAAGGAAGGATAGACACGAAGGTAATGGCGGATATGCTATGGAAAGTGCTTATGACTACATAAATATCCTAAATTCAGCAGGCACACAAAATTGTCCTCAAACACAAATATTTCGTAGTGATAGGTGGCACGAAACCTTGCTTTGTTGGCGGGGAGTCAAGGATATTGACATCAAGAGCTAACAGACATTTGCAACTAATTTCGATATCACTATGTATGTTGAAACTAGACAATGACTCTGATACACCTTCTGGAGCGCGAATCTGAACCTGTCGTGTTGCAATATTAGGAACTCGGCACGAGAGCCTGTGCCGACTTATCATAGAGGGTCGTGGCGGTGCGGTCCACCTCACCTCGTAGCCGCCGGGGCCTCCGTTTTACCATCGGCATATTGACTCCACCGGTGCATCGTATTGAGGGAATCGGAACCGTCAAGCCGCCGGGTTATGCTGTTCCTCCTGCTCCGAACGATACCACTTCTACTTAGGCCACTCCCTTTCCTTTACCCCCTTCCCGGAACACCCTAGGCTTCCTAGCTGATATTACGCTCGTGCCGCCGAGGGCGCCGCGCACTAGGAACCAACAGTAATGGCTCCCGAAGCCTATACGCTGGCTTGTAGTACCTAGTGACTGGGGCCGTGAACATGCCTTAGGCAGACAGACAATCAGCCAATCTGATAGTCAAAAGGGAATCCTGACTTTCGAAGAAAAGAAAATCGTTTATATACACCGAATTCAACGCTAGAATCAGATAAGTAAGTACCCACCACCACATAACCATAGCCCATCAACACACCATATCTCAACCGGTCTCAACCGGGTCCCGACACCATCCATCCATCTCATCTTCTCATTCCCGCATTAGGTAACTCGCTCGTTCACTCGGACAGGAGATTCCAATCGAACTTGGAACAGGAAGGAGGCCATCCAATATCGCCGTCTTAGATAATCTAAGCCGAGAGGTGGAAAAAGTTGGTGTTGCAGCTTTCGGAGCTGTCGCCGTTGTCGCTGTAGTGCGTGAAGTACATGCCGGCGATGTAGTACTGGTACTCGTCGCCTGTGCCGTTGGCGATGACCGCAACCGTCCACTCTAGCTTCTCGTCCTCGATGGAGACGGGATCTGGGTTTAGCAGGTGGTTAGCAAATACGTAATTAAGTATATATATATATATATATATATATGTTAGAAGCCAAGTTTAGGTGTGAAAAGTGAAATTGAGGTAGTAGCGGAATCAATGTAAGCGTGAATAGGTAAGCTTCGCAGGTTTTTAGGAGTGTATATATATATGTCAGGCACGTATCGACTCACCGAGGAAAACGGCGCCGCTCTTGAAGTCGAGGATCGGAATCAGCCTACAAAATCATGAATGTCAGCACACAGGTACAAGACGACGAGCAATTATCCTAAACCCCCCTCTCTTCCCTCATTCTCCATCCCCTTTCAAACCACCATAACAACCCCAACAACACACAACGCAACTCATTTAAGCAAGACCAAAACAAGTAAGAATATAGAACACGCACTGTCCATACCAGTTATACGTATAACCAGTAATGATGGGCTTGACGAGCCCGGCCGTGACGGTGATCGACATGTCACCCTCGGGCAGCCCGTTCGCGCTCCACTCGATCGCGATCTTGTCGCCAGGCTTGTACGTCGCGCCGTCCGGGAACATGGTCTTGATCGCGCAGGGCGCTGGCACGCGTGGCTTCAGGAAGTTCAAGTTCAGGCTCGGCAGGGCCTGCGCCGCACCCGCTAGGAGGAGCATGGGGAGGGCTAGGGTCTTTATTGAGGAGGGGGCCATTGTGTGTATTTTCCTTACTTGTTTATTTTCTCTTCTTTTTCTGAGCCTGGCGATGATGGATCGGGGTTGGAGGAGGTGATGGTGATGAAGATAAGGGTATCAAGGCCCAGAGTTGCAGATCATCTATCTGGACATCATGGCCGTTTATATATCATCCCGCGCCTCATAGCTACGTACCCCCCATATTTGTCTACCTAAGCATACGAGATGCTATAGACGGCTAGACTGCATTACAACCTGATAAATTTTCCAAGAAAGAACCGCGCCGGTCGTTTTCGGTTGTGGTCGTGAACTTCCGAAGGCACAGGCAGGCGGGTACGTTGGTAGACTACCATCTGGGACCCCCGCAGAGGTGTAGTGTACCTCATTCGTAACTTTGTTATGTTAGAATGCCATTATTTCTATCATCTTTACCACTGGAGATACCTGCCTTTTTTGCTACCCCTGCAGTAGTCAAGGACCTAACCGAGCGCCAAAAGATGCGATCTGGCAAGGCGAGGGTCCGATAAAGCGAGGATCCGATAAAGCGAGGATCCGATACTACTTGAAGGCTACATATACCATATATACCTAGGTACGTCTAATTAGTGTTCATTTGAGTCGCTTAATAGATGTTTATTCCAGGCGACATACGAGATACGAGAGACGAGGAGGACCGTCCTTATGAATCAACAAGGACACATTTCTAAGCGGTACTTGTGTTGTGAAGTCCAGAATAGTTGCTTTTCACATGTCATGTAAAGAGACAGACAGCTTGTGACCGATAATAGTCATGTGTCTTCTTCTTTCACAAATTGATTCTGCGACGAGAGAGCCGTAGCCACCGCCAAGAACGGACGGGGCGCGCCCAACCGAGGGTGTGCTGATAGGGACATAGCAATATCTACATCAATGCCTCATTTCAACAACCTCAGATTGACAAGTCCTTCAATTTTTCGGAGATCCAATCCCTGCGCCCCCTTGACCGCATCGTCGACCTTTCCATGATGCACACCCGCGCTCTGTCGTGTGGCTCCCTTACCACCCGTCTTGCCGCCAATCATGCTCCGACATGACGTCTGTCCAGGTCCTCAACAGTCGGTCACTTGTCTGTCGGATGCCGACGAAGATACACGCGCCGTGCATAATCGCGTCTCCGCTGCTACCCATGAAAACATATACGGAACGCGCCTTGTCATCTGCTTTTTTTTTGGTGCTTTGAAATAGTTGAGGACATCGGAGAGAGCTGTTGTTTATCTTGGTGAGCTTGCGTAATGAAAACAGAGAACAAAGGGGCATGAAGTGTGACAAACCTTTAGTATGAGCGGAAACACCAAGACGGCCAACCTAGACCTCGGTATCTGGGTTTTCCTTGAAGTATTCTTAGACGGTGCACAGAGCAGTGGCAGACTTGTCCTTTTGGCGCTTCTTCTACTCGTCCATAATTGTCATTTGAACCTAGGTATAGACACGTTAGCTGGCTTGCTAAAAAGTTGTGGCATGGGGAAACACCTTGCTAAAGCGATCCTTTAGTGTTTCTTTTTGAACCGTAGATATCGTTAATTCAGCTAGCTCTATCGATGTTAACTGTAGCGGACCTGCTCTACATCGCCTAAGGGGTAGAAGCAGTACGTCATCGGGGTTCTTCATCTCCAGGTAATAATAAACCTTAAACAAGCGTCCGTTAGGGGGTTTAAAGGACTCCCACCACTATACAAAGATAGAAGTCAGAATAGTAGTCTAATAGTGAATGTATTGATATAATTTGATAGCTAAGGGGCTGCAACACTATAACTAGATACAGGAAATATCTTAAGACTACATAAAAAGAGAGAATATAGGTGTGTTTATTAAGGAGGGCAAGTAATTTATGTGATCTAAGTGATCTAATAGATCATGCAGATCAATTAGATCAGTGACACACCTATGGTTACGTAATACGCGAAAAGAACAAGATCAAGCTGGAGAAAGGTCTCCAGTAGGAGGGTGACCCATAATCCGGTCATCCTTCCATGTTCGTAACATTAACTTCACTGTACTTTTTTTTTTCCGGTCCGAAGCTCAGCTTCGAGATTTGCTCGACCGTTTTAGCAAAATTTTGCGCCTCCCGTTGGGCCTCTCGGGCACGCTCGCCTATGAAAGCCGCGATATGCCTTACGCCTTTTGCAATTCCACTTTCCTTAACAAAGATGAGGTCTTGAAATGAAGCGGTCGAGCCCATATGGGTGCCACCCTGTTGAGATATCAGTATAAAAAGCACGTTTGTATTCATAGGGTGGAAAGCCTGGTTGAAAAGGCGACAACCAATACTTCAACATTTGTATGCAATATCAGAAATATGTGCGATAGACATGATGGCAATTAGACGAAGCTTTTGGTTTGTATAGCTGTATTTAACGGGAATGAATAAATCGTAGTTATGACTTGCAGCTAAGGTAAGAACTTGGTAGCTAGATGGCCAGGTGTTGGAATTAGTGCATGAGGATAAAATAATTGATCTGAAGTGAACGTTCTAGCTTTAAATATTCTGCCTCTACATATGACCTTACACATCCCTGACGTGTATTATTGAAAATACTGCTTGAATGGCCACAGAGTTGTTCCCTCGGCCTCGCAATCATTCTGTTGAACATGTTGAAATCGAATCAGGATCATAGGATCAATCCACTGCAATTACGTTGTTGGTCTCAATTCGAAAGGGTAGCGATGTTACATGAATGATCGTAACATCAATCCCAGAATGTTAACTATTTCTTCTATATTAAACAGCCCCGGGGCTCGTACGCTCAACGGCCTTTAGAGGGTGGAATTATAAACACACATGCGCATTCTATCACCAGCCATACTCCAATAATATCCCCCCAAACATTAATATTACCTTGTTTCCCTCTGTTGTATTGTCTTTTCCTCGCATTGTAACAGCAAAACAGGCCTATTTGACAACTCTTCCGCTCTTTGCATACAGATGTTGAAGTGTTTGTATGAAACCCTGCAGGGCTGGAAGTTTTAATATCTAAAATTTAAGGTCCTACACTGCATTTGCCCCATGAATCGGAGACGTTCATTAAGGTTATTTCGTAGTAGTTATTATATATTCACGAGACTTTCTCGGCCAAACCCCTTTATTTTGCTATCAAAACTGCAAAAACATTATGAAACAAGAAGAAGACGAAAAAATACTGCGGTGAGTGCGGATCGAACGCACGGCCTTCAGATTAGATGCTTGAAGTTGAACTTCAGTCTGACGTTCTCCCAACTGAACTATCCCCGCTGATTGGTTGTTGGCTTGGGTCGAACGCTAATTAGGTACATTTAGATACGTATTATAGAGTATAGAAATGACACTAAGGTTTAGTTGGAAGAATCTCGTCTTTCCCGTGGATAGTATGTGGAGTGTACTATGTACGGAGAATTAAGAGTGGGTGAGTGAATAGGAAGGCAATAGACATGGGGATTCTCATTGCAATAAGACTTCTTGACTAATGGCTATGATAAACGTCTCACCATTCCTCGCCATCCTTTCTTGCCTTTAAGCTGCTGTTCGACTTCCGGTAAACTACCATATCGAAAATCCAATAGTCTGTAATGGATAAGGTGTTCAAAATAAAATAGAGTGACTATTATCTAGATTCGGTCGAAAGGCACATGGATTTGATGGACGAAGCTGCGTAAGCCTCAATATCGATACGGATCGACCAATCAGTTAAGCTCGAAAGCCTCACTAGCCCCGATTCGCAAAACGAATGGCAAAGTAGATTTACTGTAGGTTCTGGGTGTTGGATTGGGCCTTCAATCAAAACATATGATGTTCAGGGAATTAGGAGACGGAAAATGACACGATACTGAGCTACGAAATGCCTGCGACGGGTAGTGGACAGCTGTCGCGCCGTCATTTGTAAGTCATCGGCGAAGAGAGAGACGACTTATTGTAAAGACGTGGACAATCCTGGAAAAGTCATATGATTAATCCACCTCTACCAGAAGCTTGGGCAACGCCTATTACTACTTAGCCATCGGCGACTTCTCTCAGACCCAGGGTGGCTATGTTTGGGGGCCGAATGCTCATAAATGTGTTTACACGGTACATATAAATTTGGGTTGAGCATCTACGACAACCGCATATATGGGAATTGCTATAGTCCCTTTTTAGAAATGATGGTAACACATAAAGCCATATGAAAAAGCTTAAAATACACCGTTTGCAGTGGCTTGTAGCGGTGGTGTGGGTTGGCAGTCATGGGCTCCAGTGATCTGGTTGGTACACTTGGCTCTTTGTGCTATAACATGTATTATCATGACTCACACTGATCGGATATAGTTGCCTATAGAATATCCATGTCACTATGCAGAAAACAGCCGGATGATTTGCTTTGCAGGAGAGTATTACCTTTATGAGGTGTCTATGCAGCTTGGGCTTTGCAATCGGCAACATGTTAACACTTAATGGGCCACCTAGAACAGGACAGCGAGTATTTTGTTAGCAAATCGCACAGAATATGGCTAAGGTGGCGCTTTTAGTGCAACTATTCTTATAACTAGAGCGCGGGAGGTCGTAGTATTGGCTAAAACAGCGATGACTATCAATAGGTGTCTGTCTGGGGGTAGCCGATGACCTATGAAAATGTATTGAGCACCGGAATATATTGAGCATGATACCTCACGCCCCCCAGGCCAGGTTACATGCATCCGGAGATTTGTGATTTGTCGTTTCTCCGCATGTTTAAGATTACGATATGAGAAAGTAAACAACATCAAACGCTTCTATCCATTTCCCCAAATTATCGGCTCACATTTTCACAAGACTTGAAACTGCACAACGAAAGGATTTCTATATATAGGTCTGCCTGGCTCACGGAGCTGTATCGGCTAATTTCGCGCACGACGTTCAAAACTTACATTAGGTTTGTACAAAAAGTGACGTTATTACTCATGTGCCTCCTGTCTAACAATGCGCATAGTCTTTATTCGAGCCGACCGCGACCAATATCATCATGGCGAGGAGAAACAGAGCCCTGGAGAAGTCATCCATGCATCCAACAAAACACCCCGAAGTGTCTCAGCTGCTCGAAGAAGATAACCTACACTTTAAATTTCACGACAATGACGACGATATCGGATGTACTAAAACGTATGACACAAATATCATGGGTCGATTCCGATGCTACAATCCGAAATGCACGAAGAACGGATGGAGCAGTAAACAGATATCCATCACTATTCGCATGTATCCCCGACGAGAGTACAATGCGGTGGTATGGCATCAGCGATGTAAAAGCTGTGGCTTCCTAGCCAAGCCTATATTAGACGAAACCTACGCAGACCGGGTTGCGTATCGGATTAAGAAATGGTGTGGTATCCGTTTGGAAAAGCGTGTTTATTCCGGAAATAGCAAGGGGCCACATGAGAGCAGGCTGTGTGAGGGTTGCAAGGCAGGGCACTGTTCACAAGGCGATGAGGTCGGGTACCACTAATGGCCAGAGATTCCGCATATACATGCCCCCTGTTCAATGGATGAGCCTTAGTTCATATGTAATGCTAAAATTTGGATGAAGAGCATCTGGGTATACTAATCCCGCCAGACCTAATCGATGGATGGTACTGACTGAGGCTGCTTGGACGGAAATCTGTTTAAAGTTGTACGGCATGTCTGGGTAACGTCTCTTGTTCTGGGTAATCAATCACGCGCGCAAATCAATTATAACCGATTCACTACCGATTATATCTCCTTCAGAATACGGTATATATATTTTCTCGTGCGCTCTATGGCACATGCTTTAGTTCGATATCCTTGGTATCACGAACCGCACCACCCGCACCAGCAGTCTCCTCTCTAAATCGCTGAATAGTAGCTTACGCACCTCATGCTCAAGGAGCATCCGCCGCGAAAAACATGCTTCTCCTCCAATGTCCTCTAGTTGGATCCAGGGTAAAGACTACATCGTGCTTAGCTTAGCGTCTCTCGCTGTGATCGGGTCGTCGCGCTTACCAATTGGGATACCGACGACATTGACCGCACCGAAGATGCAGAACATCTTCTCGCTGATGCTGTCAATGATATATGGCAATGCCAGAGTCAGGGTGCCGCTTTCAACACTCCAAGGATTTTCATTGGGACGTCGAGAGGGAAGATCTCGGCGGGGTACAACTATAGGACGGTGAGCCATGTAGCACAGAAGATGAAGGTGTAGATGGAGACAACTATAGAGGCAACGGCAGCGGCTCCGAACTCGTTGGCACTGTCGAGGTTTCCAGCGTCACGGGCATTAAGACCACCTTGAGAGAGGCCACCCAAGAGGAACATAGCAATAGAAGGCCCAGCGGCGACCGATCCTGTCGACGGTGAAGACGCGAATGGGCGTGGCGAACGTGTAGAAGATGTAAAGCACCTCATTGCCGCGACCAACCCACAGCCAATGAAGACTTCCTGGAGAAAAGCACAAAGCAAGGAAAAAGAGTAGCGGGACAAGCTGGGATTTAACCTGAAAGCGTCATCGGAACACAGACTATACGTTGTTGATGAAACTCAACCCAAAGCCGAGTCAGTAGGCGATCACGAGACCGAAGATATCAGGGGTGACTCCATGGCGATGAAAGTGCCTCGAGCACTGCATTCGGCAATCTCGGATTTCCACACGGGAAAGATACCACCGAGGATAGAGCTACCTACAAGACATCCAACCAAAATACCCAGATAGTAGAGTAATGTGATACCTCCGTACAGGAGACTTTCGGTGACAATGAGCTTAACAACATCTCCAAAATGGCCGAAGCCCATGAGTTTAATGTAGTTTGGAGGTTCGCTGATAACGCCCAACATTCCTTGATCGTAACCTGGGAGAGTTGGCTCATGTTAGTCACAACTGATTGAAGGGGCGGATAGACCCCTAGCTCAGAGCAGTACTTACCAAAGAAGAAGATACAAAGACCCGCCTCTACCGGAAGCCGGCCAGCATCCACTTGTGTTGTTGATGCATGGTATCGGTCATGGCAAAGATAGAAGTGCAAATACTGAGAGATTTAGTGATGAAGCTATTTATAAAGACTGTCACGAAATATCGAATGCTGTTATCTCTATATTGGTTGTGGAGGCTACCGTATAGCCGGGACTAACAATACAATGGAAAACTGTGAAGTCTCCACGGGATAGAAAGCCCTCGAGACGAACATTGCCACTACGTAACTGTATTATCGGCTATAGTGAGGCACTTATTCAGTGCCATGAGGTCCTGGAGGTATAGGTAATTGAATTAATTGGGCCATTTAAGACTAGAGAACAAGGCTAACTGGACAGCTCGCCACGTCTCAATGCCCCTCAGGAGGCTTGGGGCCCTGCAACGCAGGACACCTACATGATGCTAAAAGCCATCAATTAATCAATTTATCAAAACTAACCGAAGGGGGCCGGTCCTTGTAAAAATTATCTGTTGATCCAGAAGCTCATAATAGGGATCGGAGGGAAACGATACAACGACCTGAACACAACAGTTAATAAGATACGACAACTAAAGTGAAATAAATTCCTCCCACATTAAAACAGAATGCTTTAACGTTGAGTATTTAACATGAGATCTAGCTTATGTTGCTATGCAGAGAGTAGCTCATCAACGGCTGAGAATATTACGCGTTGGTGTTGATGTCTTATCACCCAATGATACATGCGCTGAACTCGCTAAATACTTTGCATATCATCTAAGGGAATTAAGAGCAGTAGCTTTGTAGTGCTTAAGACACCCTTGTCCATGGAGATACATAGAAACCTACATTTCTAAGGCAAATATTATGAAATCGAATTCAACGATTAACTGGCCGAGAAGAAGCTACATTTGTGTTCATCCCGTAAGAAAAGCCATCGCCGGTTACATAAGTACACGAAATTACCGAAATCCGAAGACGGTTGCTAACTAACTTCAATCATATGATCCCCGTTCACTCTGAACTACTTTACTATATAATTAATTTGGTGAGACACCTATCCTATTTCGCGTGCCAAGGACAAAAGCATATGCGTATTTAAAGAGCTATTGAATTTTTACCTAGGGCTTAAGCAGAGAGTACTCAGTCATTGGGGATCCGCAACATGCATTACTACCTAAGTAGGCATGGAAACCCCATACCGCGTTTACCGCGTGCCTGATACGCTCCCTATTACAACACATACTACATACTATTCAACCTCTAATGACCTGGCTTGCTTGATTCTAAGATGTGGCACCCCCGTAGCCATTAAACGATTGTCCCAGTAGTGTATATCTTGCTGTTTTGGGACGCAGG